AACGCAGAAGGCACCACCAGCTGGTGTCGACGGGATTTGCCGTCCCAGTGCATGAGAAGGCCCTGGACCAACCCCCAGGAGTCGACATTTTCACCCCCCCGCACGATTCCCCCGATGCGACGGCGCAAAGCGAGGAGGGAGGTGTCCTCCATTTGGAGGCGCCCCCACTCCGCAACCGACAACCCCAGCAAGGAATCCCTCCCTTCTTGCTCGATAGGACCGACAACGGAAGGCGCATCGGCGGCTGCTAAAACCGAATTAGAGCTGACATTCGGAGGTCTGCAACGCCCCGAACCCAGAAGGCAGGCGCACTCAGAGGTGGGTGGTAATCGTGACAGAGCGTCCACGTTGGTGTGGCGAGTGCCCTTATGATAGGTAGTTGCAAAATCGAAATCCTGAAGGATTTCCAACCATCGAGACAATTGTCCCGATGGCTGTTGAACCCGCAAAGCATACTGCAGTGCCGCATGATCTGTGCGGACGGTGAAACGCCGACCGTACAGATATGGGCGGTATTGTTGAATGAAGTACACAATTGCCAATAGTTCCCTACGGGTAACGCAGTATCTTTGTTCCGCTGGAGACAACACCCGACTGCCGTACGCAACCACATGTTCCACGCCCCCAATAACCTGGGAGAGAACGCCCCCGATGCCCGTGTTGCTTGCGTCTGTATTGAGCAAGAAGGGTTTCGTAAAATCCGGGTAACTCAATGGCGGAGCCCCGACTAGGGCGTTCCGGAGCGAGCGAAAAGCAGCGTCTTCCTCCTTACCTCAATGAAATTTGACCCCCTTAGATGTCAAGGCATGTAAGGGTTTCGCAATGGTAGCGAAATCAGCGACAAACCGGCGGTAATACGATGCGAATCCGATGAAACTCCTGACCTCACCCACCAAGGTGGGAGTCGGCCAGGAGCTGACACATTTCGTTTTGGCGGGATCAGTGGCAATACCTGAACGACCCACAATGTGACCCAAATAGCGCACCGATTCGCGGAGCAAGAAACACTTCTGGGGCTTGAACTTCAAATTAGCAGCCCGCATTTTGAGAAAAACGGCACGCAACCTCTGGAGGTGTTCATCGAATGTTCTACTAAAGACGATGACATTGTCTAGGTAAATCAGACACGAATCCCACTGCAAGCCAGCCAGAACCAATTCCATTAATCGCTGAAAAGTTGCCAGCGCGGAATGTAATCCCATCGGCAAGCGATTAAATTGGAAAAGGCCCTGCAGCGTACGGAAAGCAGTTTTCGGGTTTGGACTCCTCATCCAGAGGGAGCTGTCAGAACCCGGACAGTAAATCCAATGTGGAGAAGAACCGCGCCCCTGCCAGGGCATCAAGCGATTCATCCATCTGGGGAAGCGGGTATGCGTCGGCTACAGAAATTTTGTTAAGCCGACGGAAATCCACACAAAAACGCAATGATCCGTCGTGTTTTTTTTAACCAGAATGATCGGCGCGCCCCAAGGGCTGGTGGAAGGGGATATGATATCCGCAGCTAGCATGTCGTTTACAGCCGATTTAACATGCTCCTTTTCGGCGGGACTTAACCGAAAGGGATTTTGGCGGATTGGCGCGCTGTCACCCGTGTCAATATGGTGTTTCAGCAATTTAGTACAGCCAATATCGTATTTATTTAGACTAAAAACGTCTGAAAATTCGCGAAGGAGGACTCGAAGCCTCTCACGTTGTGGATCAGACAGGTCCACCGATCCCGTGCAAAGCGCATCGAGCCACCCCTCATCACGATCCGAAGTTGGTAGCGAGGGCGAACCGGCGCTCACCTGAACAACAACCGGTTCCTCACGAGGCACCGGCGTCGCGTGCGCGAGCACGGTCCCCTGAGGAACCACGGCCGTTCACGACCCCACATTGAGGACCGTGATGAAGGGGTCCCCGTCCCCTTTGACCATGGTCTGGCCCGCTACCAAGTCGGGTCCGTTGACCCCGGCCCTCGATGGTCCCAACAGAACCCCCCGATCCCCGACGCCCTCCGCAAATGGTCGCTGCAGCCTAAGAGGTACGAGCATTTGAGCTCCCGGCGGTACACGTACCGTCCTCACGACCAGCGCCGGTACCGTCGCAAACGCCGTACGGACATTGGTAGCGGGGGGTGAAAAAAAGGCCATACGTCGGCCCGACGGGAGCTCAATGCATCCTTGGTCGATCAGTATACGAATGGGCATTTTGGCCAAGAAATCCGTCCCCAACAGGCACGGAACCGCCAGCGAGGAGGAGACCAATATCAGGCCGGATAATTTAATGTCCCCAATACAAATTTGTGCGCGGATCTGTCCGATAATGCCCAACGAACCCCCGTTAGCAGCGTAACATGGAACATCAACAGGGAGCAAGGGACGACTTTGAATGGGGAGAATGTTGTAAATCAAATCGGACACAATAGTCGCCGATGCTCCCGTATCAATCAAGACCCGTACCTCGACCCCATCAATATGTCCCACAACAACCGACGACCCCGACGACGCGGCAACAACACGATGAGCCAACTTGGACCACTGGGTCGGTTGGACCGCACACCCCACGGAGGTACGTTTTGGCGTGACAATGGATAATTTCTGACCCCCGTTCGTTGCGGTGTGTGAGTGAGTGGCAGGTGTGTGTGTAGGCCAAACATGTGGGGTGCCACGACTCGCCGGAGTTTGCTGGGGAGACTTGGGTCGAGGCGCGACGTCCTGGCGAGGCGTCGCACCACGCTGTCGAGGAGCCCGGCATCCCGAAGCCACATGGCCCCGGAGGCCACAGTTGTAGCATCGCGTGAGTGCTGCTGATGACTTGGGCTGATCCTGGCGGCTCGGTCCGTCCCGAGCTGGCCGTACTCCGGACCTCCACTCCGTCGGGCGATCCACAGCACAGATGTCTTCCACTGGGAGGGCGGATGCAGCCACGATATGGCTGGCCGTCGCTTTGCTGGCCTTCCGACGTTGGGCCAGCAGGTTGGCATGGATATGCCAGGCGGCCCTCAACGAACATATTTCCGCGTCGTCTTCAGCCAAGACAACGATGTCCAAATCATCGGCCAGCAGCAGCAGCTTCTCCGTGACCATGGCGTCCACCCCATCCTTGTCCATCCGTGGAAAAGCCGTTTTTGCCAGGGCCAGGAGAGCCGTGCGGTATGCCAGGGGCGACTCCTTGGCGCCCCACTGGCGATCGTAAAACAGCTGACGACAGTCCGAGGGTGGTCCATAGACCGCGGCGAGGAGTTGCAGCTGCCATTTGCAGCGTGGCGCGCTGCGCCCTTGGTGCCGAGGTGAGAGTGGCGAGGGCATCACTGTCAAGCATCGCTGGCAGCGCACGCAACACCTCGTCGTCGGTCCATTTCGCCATCTCTTGATGGGTGAGGAAGCGCCTCTGGAAGCCACCCCAGTCGCCTTCTCCTCCCACGAATTCATTGAGAGGTGGCAGTCGCTGTTGCAGCGCAGCGTCCGTAGGCGAAAAACGCTCTCCGTCACTCCGTGCAGCTTTGGCGGGCTGGTCGCGTGGCAACGGCGGTTGCCGTGGTGACGTTTCGCTGTCTGCCGCTGCCGACGTGGCTTGTGGTTGGTGAGTATCGGCCACGTGACGTAGCCCCGCCTCGCTGTCAGCCTGCACTGTACTTATGGCGGGAACTTCAAACTCAGCGTCCTTGGAAATGGCGGGAAGCGGCATCTTATGTTGGCCGCCATCGGCCCGCGCAGCTCCTCCCGCACCCAGCCGGGCAATTTCTTCTAGCGCCGCGGCTGCAGCATACAGCAATTCGGCCAGTCGAGAGTGTGCCAGCCGCAGTCCTTCAGGCGACGGTCCCCACTCGTCCTGACAGCTGCGGTGTAGGTGGACTTGGCTCCTGCTGCTCGAGTCCGCCTGCAGCCATCTCTGGCTCGAAGTCGGCCGTGGTTTCCTCCGCCTCCGTCTCTCTGGTACGAGCTGAAAAGGAGGGGGGAGTGGAGGGGGTGGACGTCGCTCCCCGCCCACTCACGGGAAGCGGGGAGGTGGACGTCGACCCCCACAGTTTGACTGGGGGGGGGTCATGAGAAGCGAAGAGTTTCGGACTGAGTCCTCGTGGCCGGACCCCCTGTGGAGGTGGGCCCACTCGCCCCAGAGGAGCCAGGGGGGGGGGGGGGGGGGGGGGGGCTGGCCCGCACGGTAGATCAGCCGGTTCTGCAGAAGGAGCATCCAGCGGGGCAGACGAGCTCCCGGCGGCCGGAGCCGGGGACGTAGAAGACGGCGGTGGCTGAAGCGGCATTAGTTGCGCAGCATCTGTGGGTGGAGGCACAGACTTCCACTGAGGGTCCACCCCAGCAAGTGCACACCCTGGCTCGTCGGACACGTCACACACACGGCCCTGCAATTGTGGAGGTGAGATGGGATTTCGCGGCGCAACGAAGGGCTTGAGGCACGACGGGTGGACGAACCAATTCGCCACAGCGAATTTGTACGCATTGCGGTCGGACGACGCGGACAATCACGACAGGCCCCCGCCAAGGCCGGAGCAATTTCGGCGACGTCCCCACCGGAACTTGAGGGCAGTGGAGCCATGCCTCGTCACCCGCACTCTAAACATGGCGAGAAGTACACCTAGCTTGCAGACGTGAATTATAAGTAATCCTCGAAGCTTCCAGCTTCTGGATGTTAAAGCGAGCCGAATCTGAAATATTGGATGTAGTTTTAGTCAGTGGTACGCGCGGCTGAACGTTGTTTGGGGGATCGTGATCCCTGCCGTACATGAGGAAGAATGGCGAATAACCCGTGGGCGCATGAGGGGCCATACGGGTATGCTGCCAATGCTGCCAACACGGCCGGAAGTCCCAGTCCAGCTGAGAGTCGCTGACCTCGTGGGCGCAGCGCGCGGCGCGCCCTCGTGGTGGCGCGCGAGCGGCACCAAAAGACACCGTTGCGAGTAGTGGAGACTCCGAACGCGGCCTCCGTCCGCGCCGCTGGAGCGCGCCGAGGTGGAGATTCAGAACGCGGCCCCCGGCCTACCCCGCCCCCGCGCCGCCTCGACTCGACCCCGCGCTGCGGTCGCACGCAACGGGGGTCCCGGGGGAGACAGCGAAGGGGGTCCCGGGGTGAGAGGGGGTCTCGGGTGAGAGGGGATACCAGGGGGTCTCGGGGTGAGAGGCCGCGGCGAGAAGACGCCGGTGGAAGGATACGCGGGCGAGTTCATCCATCGACATGGTGAGACACGGGGGGGAACACAGAGACACAGGGACACGGGGGACACGGGGACAGTGGGAGACAATGGGGAGACACGGGGACAGTGGGAGACAATGGGGAGACACGGGGACAGTGGGAGACAATGGGGAGACACGGGGACAGTGGGAGACAATGGGGAGACACGGGGACAGTGGGAGACAATGGGGAGACACGGGGACAGTGGGAGACAATGGGGAGACACGGGGACAGTGGGAGACAATGGGGAGACACGGGGACAGTGGGAGACAATGGGGAGACACGGGGACAGTGGGATACAATGGGGAGACACGGGGACAGTGGGAGACAATGGGGAGACACGGGGACAGTGGGAGACAATGGGGAGACACGGGGACAGTGGGAGACAATGGGGAGACACGGGGACAGTGGGATACAATGGGGAGACACGGGGACAGTGGGAGACAATGGGGAGACCCTCGCCGCCTGTGCCTCCAGATTCGCATCGCGGCGCTGAACGAGGCGGCCGCGCCGAGCGGGGAGCGCGGCGCCGTCGAGGGCGCCAACTCGAGAACCAAGGAAGCGCAGGTGACCCCAGCACACACACACAGCATGCAGCACACACACACAGCATGCAGCACACACACACAGCATGCAGCACACACACACACAGCATGCAGCACACACACACAGCATGCAGCACACACACACAGCAATGCAGCACACACACACAACACCATGCAGCACACACACACAGCATGCAGCACACACACACACAGCATGCAGCACACACACACAGCATGCAGCACACACACACAGCATGCAGCACACACACACACAGCATGCAGCACACACACACAGCATACCGCACACACACACAGCATGCAGCACACACACACAGCATGCAGCACACACACACACAGCATGCAGCACACACACACAGCATGCAGCACACACACACAGCATGCAGCACACACACACACCATGCAGCACACACACACAGCATGCAGCACACACACACACAGCATGCAGCACACACACACAGCATGCAGCACACACACACAGCATGCAGCACACACACACACAGCATGCAGCACACACACACAGCATGCAGCACACACACACAGCATGCAGCACACACACACAGCATGCAGCACACACACACACCATGCAGCACACACACACAGCATGCAGCACACACACACAGCATGCAGCACACACACACACCACACACACAGCATGCAGCGCACACACACAGCATGCAGCACACACACACACAGCACACACACACACCACGCAGCACACACACACACAGCATGCAGCACACACACAGCATGCAGCACACACACACACCACGCAGCACACACACACACAGCATGCAGCACCCACACACACCACGCAGCACACACACACACAGCATGCAGCACACACACACAACATGCAGCACACACACACACAGCATGCAGCACACACACACACAGCATGCAGCACACACACACACAGCATGCAGCACACACACAGCATGCAGCACACACACAGCATGCAGCACACACACACCATGCAGCACACACACACAGCATGCAGCACACACACACCATGCAGCACACACACAGCATGCAGCACACACACAGCATGCAGCACACACACAGCATGCAGCACACACACAGCATGCAGCACACACACACCATGTAGCACACACACACACCATGTAGCACACACACACCATGCAGCACACACACACAGCATGCAGCACACACACACCATGCAGCACACACACACAGCATGCAGCACACACACAGCATGCAGCACACACACAGCATGCAGCACACACACAGCATGCAGCACACACACAGCATGCAGCACACACACACACACCATGTAGCACACACACACCATGTAGCACACACACACTATGCAGCACACACACACAGCATGCAGCACACACACACAGCATGCAGCACACACACACAGCATGCAGCACACACACAGCATGCAGCACACACACACACACAGCATGTAGCACACACACACCATGCAGCACACACACACAGCATGCAGCACACACACACACCATGTAGCACACACACACACACACCATGTAGCACACACACAGCATGCAGCACACACACAGCATGCAGCACACATACACCATGCAGCACACACACACACACCATGTAGCACACACACACACCATGTAGCACACACACCATGCAGCACACACACAGCATGCAGCACACACACAGCATGCAGCACACACACAGCACACACATACACCATGTAGCACGCACACCATGCAGCACGCACACCATGCAGCACCATGCAGCACACACACACACCATGTAGCACACACACACCATGTAGCGCGAACACACACACACCATGTAGCACACACACACACCATGTAGCACACACACACACCATGTAGCACACACACCATGCAGCACACACACACCATGTAGCACACACACACCATGTAGCACACACACACACAGCATGCAGCACACACACACACCACGCAGCACACACACACACAGCATGCAGCACACACACACAGCATGCAGCACACACACAGCATGCAGCACACACACACACAGCATGCAGCACACACACACACAGCATGCAGCACACACACAGCATGCAGCACACACACAGCATGCAGCACACACACCATGCAGCACACACACACAGCATGCAGCACACACACACCATGCAGCACACACACACAGCATGCAGCACACACAGCATGCAGCACACACACAGCATGCAGCACACACACAGCATGCAGCACACACACAGCGTGCAGCACACACACAGCGTGCAGCACACACACACCATGTAGCACACACACACACCATGTAGCACACACACACCATGCAGCACACACACACAGCATGCAGCACACACACACAGCATGCAGCACACACACACCATGCAGCACACACACACAGCTTGCAGCACACACACAGCATGCAGCACACATACAGCATGCAGCACACACACACAGCATGCAGCACACTCACAGCATGCAGCACACACACACACCATGTAGCACACACACACAGCATGCAGCACACACACACAGCATGCAGCACACACACACACCACACACACAGCATGCAGTGCACACACACAGCATGCAGCACACACACACACAGCACACACACACACCACGCAGCACACACACACACAGCATGCAGCACACACACAGCATGCAGCACACACACACACCACGCAGCACACACACACACAGCATGCAGCACACACACACACCACGCAGCACACACACACACAGCATGCAGCACACACACACAGCATGCAGCACACACACACAGCATGCAGCACACACACACACAGCATGCAGCACACACACACAGCATGCAGCACACACACAGCATGCAGCACACACACACACACAGCATGTAGCACACACACACCATGCAGCACACACACACAGCATGCAGCACACACACACACCATGTAGCACACACACACACACACCATGTAGCACACACACACACACACCATGTAGCACACACACAGCATGCAGCACACACACACAGCATGCAGCACACATACACCATGCAGCACACACACACACCATGTAGCACACACACACACCATGTAGCACACACACCATGCAGCACACACACAGCATGCAGCACACACACAGCACACACATACACCATGTAGCACGCACACCATGCAGCACGCACACCATGCAGCACCATGCAGCACACACACACACCATGTAGCACACACAGACCATGTAGCGCGAACACACACACACCATGTAGCACACACACACACCATGTAGCACACACACACACCATGTAGCACACACACCATGCAGCACACACACACACCATGTAGCACACACACACCATGTAGCACACACACGCACAGCATGCAGCACACACACACACCACGCAGCACACACACACACAGCATGCAGCACACACACACAGCATGCAGCACACACACACACAGCATGCAGCGCACACACACACAGCATGCAGCACACACACACAGCATGCAGCACACACACAGCATGCAGCACACACACAGCATGCAGCACACACACACCATGCAGCACACACACACAGCATGCAGCACACACACACCATGCAGCACACACACACAGCATGCAGCACACACACAGCATGCAGCACACACACAGCATGCAGCACACACACAGCATGCAGCACACACACAGCATGCAGCACACACACAGCATGCACCACACACACACACACCATGTAGCACACACACACACCATGTAGCACACACACACCATGCAGCACACACACACAGCATGCAGCACACACACACCATGCAGCACACACACACAGCTTGCAGCACACACACAGCATGCAGCACACACACAGCATGCAGCACACACACACACACCATGTAGCACACACACACACCATGTAGCACACACACACCATGCAGCACACACACACAGCATGCAGCACACACACACCATGCAGCACACACACACAGCATGCAGCACACACACACAGCATGCAGCACACACACACACAGCATGCAGCACACACACACAGCATGCAGCACACACACAGCATGCAGCACACACACAGCATGCAGCACACACACACCATGCAGCACACACACACAGCATGCAGCACACACACACCATGCAGCACACACACACAGCATGCAGCACACACACAGCATGCAGCACACACACAGCATGCAGCACACACACAGCATGCAGCACACACACAGCATGCAGCACACACACACACACCATGTAGCACACACACACACCATGTAGCACACACACACCATGCAGCACACACACACAGCATGCAGCACACACACACCATGCAGCACACACACACAGCATGCAGCACACACACAGCATGCAGCACACACACAGCATGCAGCACACACACACAGCATGCAGCACACACACAGCATGCAGCACACACACACACACCATGTAGCACACACACACACCATGTAGCACACACACACCATGCAGCACACACACACAGCATGCAGCACACACACACAGCATGCAGCACACACACACAGCATGCAGCACACACACAGCATGCAGCACACACACACAGCATGCAGCACACACACAGCATGCAGCACACACACACACAGCATGTAGCACACACACACCATGCAGCACACACACACAGCATGCAGCACACACACACACACCATGTAGCACACACACACACACACCATGTAGCACACACACAGCATGCAGCACACACACACAGCATGCAGCACACATACACCATGCAGCACACACACACACACCATGTAGCACACACACACACCATGTAGCACACACACCATGCAGCACACACACAGCATGCAGCACACACACAGCACACACATACACCATGTAGCACGCACACCATGCAGCACGCACACCATGCAGCACCATGCAGCACACACACACAGCATGTAGTGCACACACACAGCATGCAGCACACACACACACCATGTAGCACACACACACACACACCATGTAGCACACACACAGCATGCAGCACACACACACAGCATGCAGCACACACACACAGCATGCAGCACACATACAC